TACATCCTTCAGTAAAGAACTTTACCATGATTTTTCCAGTCCATCTGTACAACCATGTACAACCATGAGCCCATCTATGACAGGCCAGTGAAATAACTCAGACAAACCACAAAAATGCCTCATTGAACTTTAAATTAAGTTAATCTGACTTTTCATGCAATACCCTTTCACAGAGCACAACCTGGATTACACTTTTGTAGCAGGCAAATCCCACAGTTTAAGTGACCATTAAAGAGATATTCAATTGATAACTGTTTCACAAACTATTCTTTTTTTCATCCTGTACGAATGATCCTTCTACCATGATTACATACACTGCTGATAAAACCTAATAGCTGTTTATTCCCAAATGACTACGATGGCAACAGGCTGATACTCCATACTAAGGAGAGATGCAAGACTTAGAGTTCATTTTCAAGGACATGCAACTCTGTACTGAGCATGATCACAATAAGGCCTCTGAATTGTGCGTGTGTCAACAATACGCAGTGCTATGCCTCAAGCTGTGCCAACTGCTCCATCTCTCATTTGCATGGTATAATCCATGGACACATTCCAGGGCAGAAGATCCACAAGACATAAAAATGATATGCAGTATGATCTAAGAAAAGGTAATATACTGGTGCTCGAGTTCATTATAGTATTTTACTCATGAAAATGAGGTGTTTATATAGTTATATAATTTCCATTGTCTAGACAAATTGGGGAAGCAGTTAGAAAGGCAAACAAAATGATAGGAGGAGATTATGAAAGGTCCACATATAAGTATTAAAATCTTCAAAGACATTGATTCTTCTAAATGAAAACTGAAATACAAATCAGAGGACACAAGTGGAAACTACGTGTAAGAGCGTTTTAAAACTGAGAATAGGAGGTGCATCTTTACCCAAAGGGATGCAGGAGTATGGAACAAGCTACCCACCCATTTGATTGGAGCTGAAACTTTGAAATATCCAACTGGTTTAACATAACAGTTTCCTTCAGAAAGTACAGAGAAACACAAACCAAAGAGAACAGGAGATAACTACAGCACATGGAGGTGCATTCAAAATTGAGAACAGTAAGCACACATCCCTAAAGAGTTATGGGAGTATGGATCAAGCTAACGAGTCATATTCTCAGAGTTGATACCCTGGCTTCTTTGAAGAAACTGTTGGATGAGATCCTTGAAGCAATTAACTACTATCACTATTTTTGTAATGAACATTTATACTATGTAATAGTACTGTATATGTAGTATACTACAACATATATTGTCTTTCTAATAGGGACAGGATAGTAGTACAGAACAACAAAAACACATAAGGATGGTTTCAAATAAGATGCTATTAGACTCATCTCGCTGCAAGATGCTAGTTATTTATCAGTTCATGGATCTCATCAATACATTTCTGGATGGTTCACAAGGAATGGAAAAAATCACATAAACCCATATGAAGTTACTCTTTAGACTGTGTTAGAAATGTTAAAGCTAAATTGTGTCTCAAAAAGTACTACAGAAAAGACCTGCAGGACTAATATGCTTGCAAATACTGTGTGACAAACAAGGCCAGGCTGAAAAGTACCCAACGTTTTTGTGAGTGAAGGCATCACTACAGAACACCAGCAGGTTGCTCAGTTGTTGCTGGCTGAATACAGAGAAGAGGAGTGGTTGGCATCTTTTTTGCCCTTGCAGTAATGAACAAATAGTTGAAGGACATAATAACTAGGCCTTGCTTAATCACGGGCAAGAAAACAAGAAGAAAAGGCAATTTGCATTTTATATTTAAAGCAAGACAAATTATGCTATAGCTGTAAATTCATCATGAAGAGGGACCTAAAAATGTTCATGTACGCTACAGTTGAAATGCATTTTAAATGACTTTTTTTCTCCTTTTTTCTTGCTGAAACAGAGACTTTCTTTTCTTTCATAACACAAGGTCAGGCTTATGCTAGCCTACACATTTCTTTAATCTACAGATGTGGATAATATATTCAAAGACATTCTTTCTTTCTTGGAGAGGCCAAATAGAAGTAAAAACCTTGCAAATGTAAAGTTTTGTACTTTCCATGCTGCATTTGTGAAAAACAACTGTGTAATGCATTCTGTTTTACTCTTTGATTTGCTAACATGAGCTACTTTATTAAAATTCAAAAGGCTGAACATCTACCAGAGTTAGACATATGAAGACATTTTGATTGGTTCCTTTCACATTGTGTTCCCCTATATACAGTATAGATAGATAATACTTTATTAATCCCGTAGGGAAATTGATGAAGTATACAGTATACTGTATCACACATCCCTTGTACAGATGTGATGGATAAAGAAATATAGCAGTAATACCCAATAACTATAAGAATCTGAAAGTTTCAGATCAAAATCAAATCCCTAATCTACTACTCAGGACCAAAAAAAGGTTTGAATATCTGATGCTTACAATAGCATTAAATGTTCTCACAGGTTTTTTTATTCTGAGGTAAAGAGACCTACGTGTACTTAATTACAGATAAAATAACTGAGGTTAGATATTCTAAAAAGATTTCTAAGAAGCCATCTTTTTGTTAAGGAAGCTACTGCCTTCATTTGATTAGTTATTGTACAAAGTCTGCGTGTCAGGATTCAAAATTATACAATCAATTACCTGCATAAGTATCTGGTGTGCTCTTTTGAGCATACTAAGTCAATGTATCTTAGCTTCATCGTCATCCTGTGTTTAGTTTTGGTGTAATTAAATTTAGAATGCAATCAAGAATAAGTCTGGCTTGTGAGTACTTCCCTAAGAAAAAGTACATGCAGAAAGGCCACTGTAATCATACCAAAGAATATAAAATGGGCTGCTATCAACACAGGTCAACCATTTCAGTGAAAACATCAGAGATCTTTTCATTCAAAGGCAGACTCTCACTGTTCCAATATGTTTGCTGAATTGGGCCTGTTGTCCTCAACATAGCAAATACAGGGGATTTTCCTAGAAGACAATAAATTATGGACAAATGTGATGCCCATTGGGTTTTTTCCTAAAAGAAATCCAAATGGGTTATGTGCAGTACAGTGCCTTGCAAAAGTATGGAGATACTTTCTGCCGAGTTCCCATTTTGCAAAATCACAATAACACACAATTTTAATCTTAACATTTTATTAAAGAACAGAATGCCCAAACCTAAATCTTCTAATGGTAAAAATACTGTATGTTACAGTAATTATCTGCAAAACAAAAGAGAAAAAACTGGAAACTGATATCAACATGAAAACCACATTGATTGTGTATGTATTCAGACTGTGAGCCAATATTTGGCAACCATTACAGCTGCAAGTCTTTCAGGGTACATCTCCATCAACTTTGCATACTGGGTTAAGCAATTTTGGCCAGTGTCCTTGGCAAATGCTGCTGATATGAATAACTAAAACATAATGCCACCAACAGTATGCATGGTGTTGACTGAGTCATGAACTATGTTGGCTTTCTATCAGATATAAAACTTTGTTTTTAGACCAAAAGTTTCAATTGTGTCTTTTCTGATGGCATATTTGCAGTTACACTTGAATGCTATGTAGGTTGCATATGGGTTTTCCATTCTGTCATACAAAAGACTTGTGGGGTGTCCAGCTTACTTTTATCTCACATCTATATTCTCCCATCTAAGCTACTGAAGTCCATAGTTCTTTCAAAGTCATTGTTGGCCTCATCAGCTTCTTCGCTGGCTGGCTGCTCGTTTTAGAGAGACAGCCTGATTTAAGCAGTGTCTAGGTGGTACGGCTATGCTTCCACTTCTTGAATATCAACTTCCGATGCATTCATATTTTCACATTTTCTGTGCTTTTCTATAATTTCTACAAATCTCCGAGCTGTTTTGAAAGGTCCTTGGCCTTTGTGTTTGAAACGCTACTTGAAATTCACTACCTGATTAAAGGACCTTAAAGAGACAAGTGTATTTACTCTGAAATCATGTGAACCACATCAATTCATTCATTCATTAATGCACACAGACAGATGTAGTTAATTATGGCAATTATCATGTTATACCTAGTTAGTTCTCTGACACTTTACCTATACCAGCCATGACTACCACTGTCTTTTTGGTCTGTGTTTTTTCCCCGGGTTTCCAGGACCCTTGCTAAGAAGTCAAAATTATCTTGAAACTGGGATCATGCATTTACCCATGCTTTCAAAGACTAATTATTGTAAATCTCTTTTGCCTTTTCACATTTCTCCTGGAATTAACCAGAATTGGGTTACTAGCCCATTTATTTGGACCTTCTTTCTTATCTTCCACACCCATTTTAGGATTAATTTCCTTTGTCCTCATTACCTCCCTCACCCACTTGAAGACAAAACACCGCATATCTATTTTTCTACTTGACAGTGTGCAATTAACCTCCAGGTTTTGAAAACCCTCCAATCTTTGAAAAAAAATGGAATATCGACAATTTACCATTTTATTATAACACACTCATGACCATTTTCTAAAAGGATTTATACACTAAAACTTGAATTATATATCTTAGAGAAAGGATCATTAGAAATACAATATACAAGTTCCATGTGCAGTATTATAAAAGGTCAGGTTCATACACTAAAAGGTTATAAGTGGGGTTTATTTCTAAACTGCAGGCTGACCACTGAGTCATGTGGGATTTTTCAGTTGTTTTTTTTAATCCGCCTGGAAACCCAGATGTAATTACACTCTTAATGTGCATAAATACTGCTGACAGTTCCATTCTCGAGAGATTGCAGGCCTTTTAAAGGAGTTATGATAATGCAAATCCTTTAAAACCACACACAATAGTCACTTGTAAGGTTATTAAATGAGAGTGAAACACAGGAGATAAAAACAGTGCCATGTTTCATTAGACGCTGCCCTGGTAAGGATATCAAACACAAGTTTATATCACCAGCCTTCATTTCAGACTTAAAAACACAGATGCACCCCATTTCAAATTACTGGATTCCTTCTGGCATGTGCCAGTGTATGACCATTTTATATTGACTAATGCTGAAAGGAGAACTTACGCTTACCTTATGAACTTCATTTTTATATACATCCACACTATCACTTCAGGGCTCCAGTTATGCCTGCTTGAGTCCAGTTAATACAGATAGAGCTGGGCAGCTCTCCACTCTACAAGATGATTTTCTAACTGTCCCTTCTGTCATGGTTGCCATCACATCTCACTGGCTGTTCATTCGTTCTGTGAAAAACAGCTCACTTTGAAACAAAGAATAAGAACTGACAGAATAGGCATCCTAGTACAAAAGTATTCCTGTATTCCAGCATTAAACACCCTTCTTAACTGTCCATCCAGATTATTTTGGTGTTGAATTAATGCAGAATTTTCTCCTTCTTTAATTTTATGATGATAAATAGTACTGTGACAAGTCTCAAAAAACAGAAAGGCATGTCAGTAGGCCTATAGAAAAATATCGCTGTGATATTCCCTCATAAATGTGTAAAAAACATTCATCTTGTTATTAAGCCAGTTTGCTAAATCAAGTTTTGTTTCATTAGTGGATTTAGTTCACTGGAAAGCCTGTTTTTCTGCAATGTTTAGAAACCATTGTTTATTTAAGGCAAGTAAACCAGATGCATTAATACTGTGTCAGAATTTCACAACTCCTCAGGGTCAGCATCAATCCGACTACAACATAATGTGAAGTGAAGCAGCTCAAAACTCTCAAAGCAAAGCCAACCCATCCACCCTCTATCACCATACATGTTAACTTGAATACCAGAACTGCCTGTGACTCACCAACAGCAATCTAAACTATTTCATCTAATTACATACTACTTTACCAACAGTTCAACATGTACCTGCACTAGAGTTAGTTTAGGCCATAAGGGCCACATGCAGTTGTTTGCACATTCCTGTTTAGATGTTATTTACAGTGGGAAACACGTATTTTCTCCTTCCTGCTTCTTGTACAATTGCCAACCTGGAAGAAATCCTTGAATTCTTGACACATTATTCGCTGTAGTTCCAACCTTCATTTTCTTAGAAATTAAAATAGCAAGGTGTAGCCGAGATCCGGCTAGGATTTTAAATACCAGAGGTTAAGCTATTACAACATGCTGTACCCCTCAGTGCTTACTAGCTGTGGTCCTGGGAACCACTGTGTCTCCTGTTCTCTATCTTAATGATTTTAGAAAAGAGTAGGGGTGTAACCCTGGCGTCCTGGCCAAATTTCCCATTGGTCCTTACCAATCAGGGCCTTCTAACAATCCCCATCCATGAATTGGCTTCATTACCCTGTTCTCCTCCCCTCTAATAACTGGTGTGTGGTGAGTGTTCGGGCACACTATGGCTGCCATTGCATCATCCAGGTGGATGCTGCACATCGGTGGTGGTGGAGGGGAGTCCCCATTACCTGTAAAGTGCTTTGAGCGGAGTGTCAAGAAAAAGGCTATATGAGTGTTAGCAATTATTATTATTAATTATTATACATTTAATCATTATTTTAGTTTTCTAGTCAGGAATATTCTAAAAATTCCTTTCAGCTCTTAAAATGTGGAACAGGATTTGTATTTGGTAATGAGTGAGACACAACTGCCCTAGTATACAGTAGGTACAGTATGTTGACGTAACCAGGACTTACGAAAGACAAAAAGCTGATTGTGGGAGCATCTGATACATTGTCATTACAGCCTGTGTCTGTTTTTCATAAACATATTAAGAACTGTTTAGACATAGGGTTAGCAAGTTGATTTGAGGCTCTGAATGCTGAAGTTACAGGAAACTGTATCTTTGAAGTGTTTTTTTAACTCAGGACCGAGTGCTGAAATCACTTAACCAAAAGTCCAGCCAAGCGACCAGATCAATTGAACCTGTCAGTTAGCACAGGAGATTGAAAGTTTAGCTGAAATGAAAACCAGCAGACAACAGTGGTCCCCCAGGAACAGGGATGAGAATCACTGCCACAGGCCATCAAGAGGCATGGCCAAACTGTGGCTGGTTTAAAGCAGAGCCTGTGATTATGTCAGAATGTGTGGCATAATCATGCATCCCAAGATTTCAGGTTTAAGATAAACAGTATTTGACACGTGACACACACAAACTGTTCTCATTTAGTGCTGCAATCATCAAGGGGATGTCTGTATGCTGAGCCACTCAACTTTGCTTACCATTTTCAAGGATCCATAGCAAAAGAGGTCAACAGCAAACATTTACAGTACAGATAAATACCATCCCCCCATTCTTATACTTTCAGTAGAGCTTAGTCATGTGTTCAGGCAGAAGTGTTTACTGAAACTGACCTTTATTCACCTTATCCTTTCTAGGCTACAGTAGCAAGTACTGTACTGTTTGCAAAACAGTAGTGCTTACCAAACAAAAGACCATATGGATTTCATAAAATATTACTTAATCTTCTGAACGTTCACAATAGCACAGAACAAAAAAGTCTATGCCCTGCCAGGAATCACCCCACATGACTTGAGCAAGGGCAGCTCTTTTCTTGTTTTGCAAATTCAGCTGAAACTACAACAACACAAGCCATACTGTATAAAAAAGTGTAAGGGTGCAAAAAAGACATTAATTCTGCACATATATCACAAATAATAATGCACTGAAAGCTCAATTTGAAAATAGCAATGTTCACCCTCTTTCTTCAAAGGACTCATTTACTCCTTATAGTAGAATACTAAATATTATTAAATACTTCTGCAGTATCAAACAACATCCGCTATAAAAACTGGTATAAAAAGTTGTACTGCAACCAAGATACAACCCACAGATTAAGCTGATTTTTTATTCCTAATAAAGCATTCTAAAATAAAATAAATTCAAAATCATCAATTAATTGTTTTTGCACAATCTGTTTGGCAGATGCAATCTTTATAACACATTCATGACCATTTTCTAAAAGGATTTCTCTCCTTGTAGAGAGAGCATTTTCTTGGCCATATGCAATTTCTTGTGTTAGGAATTTGTCTTTTCCCATACCCAACTTGCTCTCCATTAGACACACAGACAAGGAGAGAGAAGCTTGAGGCCAGAGCGCAGTGTCAGCCATTTATACGGTGCTCCTGGAGCAGCTGGGGTTAAGGGCCTTGCTCAGGGGCCCAACGGAGTAGGATTCTTCTGCTGACCAAGGGATGCGAACCAGCAACCTTCCAGCCACAGACGCAGATCCTTAGCCACAGAGCCACTACACCACCCAAAAGAGAAGGAGTTTGCCTGGCCCATATGATGATTGAACCAGTGACCTTGGCGTCATTAGCAGCATGGTCTAACCAACTGAGCTAACTGGCCTCATGGTTGAGTCAGGGGTAGAGACCTGCCTTTTATTCTCACAGTACAATTGGGTAGGCAAACACCAGAGGTACAGTATGAGCCCACCTTTGCCCCCTCTTGTAGATGCCAGGTCAGCTGAGCAAGGTCAATCAATGTTAACTCCGTGCAACCATTCTAGACAATGGGTAGAAGGTATTTGTACAAAGAGATGTTTCTGAGGCATCCTTTCTGTGTTTCTGAAACCTATTCACCCGTACAATTGTCACACAAGTGTCACACAACAAGTGTAAAAACCCATTCCAAAATGCAGAAAATGTTTTGTGTGACGGTGAAGATTTTATTTTTATCGCACAATCCCAAATCCCAATCACAATCCCATCATGTCTTGTGATGGACTGGCTTCCAAACAAGGATGTAGCCTGCCTCGCACCCAGTGTCCGCCAGATTTGAAATCTAGACCACCACAGTGATGGACTGGACTAAGCCATTATTGAAAACAGAGAGGTGGACTGAAAATGAATTTATTCTGGAGAACACGGGATGCAGGATGTAATATGAAGATATAGCTTTGAAGTTGTCATTCATACTCAAACAGGAAACACACAAGACAGAGTAAATGCAAATACTGGTGACAAACTCCACCCTTGGCTCAGAAAAACACTCATGCAAATGTTAGAAGTCTCAACAGCTTTTTATTTAGCATATGTTAGTTTTGGTTTATTTGTTAAATAAATGGTGTCTTCCTTTAACAAATAGCAAAGCCAACACCTGTGTTTTTTTCTTCAGATTTTGAAGGATCAAACAGTTCTGCATTTCAAGAGAGAGCTACTGTATTTAATTGGAATTATTTCTATGCTGTACAAATGGTGCCTTCGCCATTAGACACAGAGTACAAAAGAAAAGGTACTTTTCTTTTACACTTTAAGTCCAGTTTTCACAGTTTCTGAGATTTCTGAGAAATCAGAGAACAAGGATTCTACTTTTTAGTTTTTCAGCAGTCTTGAAGGCACACAGACTACAACCGCTGAAATACATAATAAAACAACACAGAAAAAAGATCTGCAATTTTAAGAACTGTGAACTCTTCTATACTTGCTCCATAAGGCAAGCCCAGGGACATTTTTGCATATCTTGAAATGGGAATGCATTAACATAATTACTCAAAAAGAACAGGAAAAGGTTCCATTATGTTAAATTTACAAATGTGCAGAGATGGATAATGGAAGAAAATTGGATGAAAACACCTGCTGCTTTATAAAATCTAAATGGTCTTAGAACTAAGGTATTTTTACCATAGATTACAAGTGACATACATCATGCTTCAGAAAAATTCTACATTCTGATGTGTAAACCAAATCAACAGAGAAGCGGTTTTGAATCTAGCATAAAGAAAAGCCCACTTGCTAATGTTATCTTCCCAACAGTAACTTAAAATCAAGATAACAAAGTTTTCTGTTTCCACAATATATGCATCTTAAACAACTCTCAAATTTACCTAAATAGCTTTGGCTTCGATAAGCAAATGTTCTGACCTGCCAAATAAACAGCATAACACACCTAACTGAATACAAACAGCAAGTACTTTGATAAAAACCCACAAGCAAAAAAGGAGAAAGGGAACAGATGTTCAATTCTCATGGGATAAAAGAAACAGAATCATGACATCATGGTATCTGGTAATTATCCACCTCTGCATTTTCAAAAGCCATCAAGGAGAAACTTTTAAACAGCACCAACCAAGGTATTAATCAAGTGCATTTTTAATGTGAGTCTCAGTTATGTCAAGCATGCAGAACATATGTAGCTTTACAATGGTATTTTAATAATATTCATCATAACTATTTTTTATAAATTGTTACAAACTTACCAGACCGTCCACCCTCTAAGCTCTAAATCGGTCAAAGGTTCACTATTATGCATAGCTCCACTCAAGACTGTAATGATTGGACATGCAAACTACCCACTCAAGCATAGTAACAGATAATTTCCTGTCAGTTGAGACCAGACTAGAAAACTAGGACATATTGTTATATAGACACTTCTGTGCAAATCTGCACATATTCATGCAGATAAAGAATTTAATGGGAATTTTTTAACTAATATTTTAAATATTCATTTAATCCTGACACCATTATATTTTGTACAAAAATGTTGCCTTTTAGCTTCTGTGGGTGTCCAGAGAAAAAACAAAACTATGTTACCTTGAGGAGAACCTGGAGAGTAATCAAACAGATTTGACTGGTAAGTGATGGATTAGCTACAATACCACTTCATAATGGCCACCCACGTACAATTTACTTCAAGTTACTGTGATCAAAATGAGCAGTCAGAAATGAGAAAAAACTGTTAAATGACAAGTCTGGTTTCTTCTCACCCAAACTAAGCTGTACTTATAAAAAAACAAAGCTGTTTGTAAGATTAGAATACACTAGTGGAGATGTCAATTCCTGACACTTGTAACAATTGCATTCCTTTGAGTGCATGCATTAAGGTATACAGTAACCCAGCTTTTTATTTTCTGAAAAATATGGATAGTTAATGTACATTAAACAGCTCTAACACAAGTAAAATGCTACTGGATCTTTTCCCTGCTGCTTTAGTCTTCCTTAACATGAGAGCATTGCTGTTCCTGGTCACCATGGTAACTGTACACTCTCATATTATCCTTTCACTGTTACTGTCAGTCACTTGGCAATTAAGTTTGATTAAGCATTCTCATAGCGAAGAAATTATTCAGAAGCTGTAACTTCAAACCAACATACAGTAGAAGGCAAATTTCCTTTAACACAGAAACCATAGCACCTTAACATTTGTAGTACTATGAACATGCTTACAAATATTTACAGTAAGTGAAAAAATATTTTAAATCCTGTAATGTTTTGGCCAGCAGATATACCCACTGTCATCCAGTAGGGTGCCACTTCACAGTTTTGTCCAACAGCCAATTAATTAATATTTATATAGCTTAAATTTATATAGCGCTTTTCTGGACACTCCAGAAAAGGACTGGGGACTCCCCTCCACCACCACCAATGTGCAGCATCCACCTGCCAGAATGCTCACCACACACCAGCTATTAGTAGGGAGGAGAGCAGAGAAGATTCAATTCATAGATGGGGATTATTAGAAGGCCATGATTGGTAAGGGCCAATGGGAAATTTGGCCAGGACACCAGGGTTACACCCCTACTCTTTTCGAGAAACGCCCTGGGATTTTTAATGACCACAGAGAGTCAGGACCTCGGTTTTACGTCTCATCCGAAGGACGAAGGACTGCTTACAGTATAGTGTCCCCATCACTATACTGGGGCATTAAGACCCACATAGACCACAGGGTGAGCTCCCCCTGCTGGCCCCACTAACACCTCTTCCAGCAGCAACCTTAGTTTTTCCCAGGAGGTCTCCCATCCAGGTACTGACCAGTCTCACACCTGCTTAGCTTCAGTGGGCTGCCAGTTGTGAGTCGCAGGGTGATATGGCTGCTGGCAATTGGCAATTGGCAATTGGCAATTGATAGTAAAACCTATTTGTGAAAAATATGATTTCTCAATGTTGACTGCAATGTCATATTAAAAAGTGTACAACTTTCAGAAAAAAAGGTGTCTAAAGCAATTGATTCCCAATCAATTATATACTATGCATATAAAACATGCATCCAGTTGCTTGTATGTGTATACCAGTGGTGTCAAACAGATTCGACACACCAAGCTCATTTGGTTCGGCTATGTACAGTAGCAGGTGCAGTCAGGGCCTCAGCCAAGATTCAGTATACTCATTGTCCAAGCCTGTATAGCCCACAGATGAAACAGGAACCCTATGTAATGTTTCATAAACACAGCACTCCCTGTAGTTCTCTGTCTCTGTCCAATTGGAGTATCCATGTTTGATGTTGCTTGATGCCATCACAGATGTAGTTTGCCAGGGGCATCTCTTTGTACAAAAATATTGAGGAAAAAAATGTGACCCCATGAGATCAGCATATACATTTCCTCTAGGTTACTCTGAATTGTGGAGCAACACTACCTAATGCAGGTGTGGGCAATTTTGGTCCTATAGAATCAGTGAATCTGCCTTTTTCATTCCTGCTCCACTCTTAATAATCTAAATAACCTCACTATTGACTTAATGGGACTAATTTAATAGCTTCTTCCAGCTGTTCAGCTGCAGGTGTTTTGAAGAAACCGAGGAAACCTAAAAGCACATCAACCTCTGAGCGCCAGGACTGCCCAAAATCTAGAGGATTTGAATAGGATATTTTTTAACATCATAATAAGTGTCCTGTAATTTTGAAGACAAGAAAAATAGTTGAACAATGTCGTGTAAGTGAAGAAAAGGGAAAGAAATGTGTATTTCTTCATTAAAGTGATTGGAAAACTAACATATTTCATTTGTATGACAGACAGCTAATATCTAGGTATTAAGGTAGTTGCCCAAGAGCAATAGCAATAGCTGTAGAGATTAATTTATTGCTGTTTTCTAAACTGGTGATATCTTGTGAATAAGTAGCATTCTGCATTTTCAGAATTTATTTTGATCATGTAATGTTCCTTTAACCTTTCTTTTTGTGTTTTTTTGTTAAAAATACTAAAAACACTCTGCAAGTTATGTAAAAATGCAAGCTGCTTTTCACTTATCATTAGAGCGAGAGTAAGTCTTAATGGTCTCTCAAGCAGAGTCCAGAGGTGATGCTGATCACTAATCCCAGAGACCATTTAAATTGCATTTCAGTCCTGCAGTTTGCCAGTTGATATAATGTATGTACAGTATATGCATTTATTTTTGCCAGTTGTTGAATGAGATATCCAACCAATACTCTTATCAACAAAGCAGAGATTTACATTTTTTACCACAACATAACTATTTAAAACAATTGTGTTAATTAATGTTAACTATCATATCATACTAAAAGGGCAATAACTAGGTCTTGATTGGAATCTAGCATATACCCAGTGACAGCTAACTGCATTTTAAAAGGAAGTATGAATATACTGTACATCAAAAATGTGAAAAGTTACGCGTACTGTATTATGTAATGTTTGTTTAGTATTTCAATACATATGGTATGCATCATCACTTGTCATCCAAGACTTCCTTGTGAAATCCAAATATTAGATATTAAAACAAAAGAGGTAAAAAAGTGTATCACAGGTACACGGCTAGGCTCAGCCTAAGTGCTGCATAATGTTCATCAATAATTCACTTTATGCTACTGTTAAACAGTCACCTCCCCAAGGCATAAGAAACAGCATATATGGAGCTATCCATGTTTTATCACATTCCATATAACTGTATTTGTCGTGATTTGTAACAATTACCTAATTACTGGGTGTTTAAAGACATGCTTAAAATAGCTATGACAGTGTCATCAGAAGTAACGATAACCTTTACTCTTTTATTTCCACTCAAATCTGTCACAAGCCAGCATGTTTAGAGCTGTCCAAATTCCCACCCACGGGCCAAGCATGGCATACAGGGTGTATATTCATCGAGCCTGTGGAGCAATTAAAAGGCAAAAGAGCTGGAGGCAAAGATGTCTGCAAAAGAATGTTTATTTTATGCAGCTGAAACTAAAGAGAAAGCAACTCTGAAGAGCTACTGTATGAAGTAGTACAGCTGATTGTGCAGTACAAAAATCTTTTCCTGGAGCTTATTTCATGATGAAGTGTGTCTGCAATATAGTGGAGATTGTACAGTATGCTCATAAAGAAAAATGAGTTTATGGGCAAACAAGTACAATACAATACAGAGGAGCATTCAGCAAGTTCAGCAGAGTTAAAGGCGGCTCAACAGCTGAAACATTCTGGTTACCTCTATTTGACTTGAGAGTAATTAACCCCTACTTGTTCCTTTGCAGCCCACAAGCTGACACAGATCTTCATTCACACCTATTGTTTACTGATGAAATTAATTATCTTAATCTTAACCATGTTTTAGCATGTCCATCAATGATTAGGACACCACTGCAATGGCTTTCAAAGGGCATCACCAGAGCTTCCATTCCTGTTCCACCAGAATCCACGTTTTCCCACTGGTCAATGTACAGTAGTTTGTGACATACGTCAAATCAAGTCACGTTTGTTTTGTTTGCAAAGTTAACATAACACTGTCATAAAACAGTCTCTGTATATACTGTACTGCAGTCTCTGTGTATAAATTGTAATAGGAACTATTGAATAAACACTCTTAGTTTAATTTTCACACAGAAATTGCATATACATATAGTGCACTATGCAATGGTCTGTAAAATATAGTTACTGCACGTTTTGATATCTTATGTCGCTTGTGCAATAATGGGTCTAAATTTATATTTTTATTTATAAACGTCAATCCTTTAGTCTCAAAACCTATAATGACAAATGCTGCTACTGGAAAAGAAGTTGTTTCCACTTTTAAGCAGTTTGAGATCTCATAAACTGTAATTAATAGTTTATATGAAATGTCATATGAACTATTAAACATTCAGCTATATTAACAGCATTTTAAACCTTTCAAAAAATAATATTGTGTTTCATAATATATTAATAATAATATTATTATTATCCCTATTATTCTTCAGAGTGTTTTCCCGATATACCTACAATCCATCTTCTTTGAGACTGAGTGAAAATGAGTAGAACTTATATTGACACAATAAAGAACAGACATCCTTTAAAAATTGTTTTAATTTACCTCTCAGTTGCTAAGGAACTTCAAGTCGGGTAATAGTTCAGAAGTGGTCACTGAAACAAGAAGAAAAATCACATTAAATAGAAATTTAACTTTTGAATTTGGTGACCCCGCCCCGAACATAAGCAACATGAAGTTTCATGAACTAAAATAAATATGAAAGCAGCAGAGTGTACACATCTACGGATGCGGCATGTTTCACTGTGCACTGTACTACCGTCAAGCAAATGCTCTTCTGTACTTGACATAATGGGAGTTTGGTATATGAACCTGCTAGAGAAAGTGAGACTCCATTATCCTGGACTTGTCTGGGCTGGGTGTCACAGAGCAAACAGTCCATCAGTATGACTAGGCAAGGGTTACAAGAGAACTACAGAGGAGTTGCTATGACAGCCACATCCGTTGTAATGTGACACAATAAAAGCTTTGCTTTCCACTTTAAAAAGCAATACTTCTTCTGCACAGCGTGCAGAGTGATCTTTTTCAGTGGTATTACAATTCTTTAAAAATATACTAGGGCAAAAACAAAAGATTGCTGCCAATTACAGTACAGTATATAAAAAGAACAGCATAATAGAAAATGATCCTCTTATCTGATAAAATATATAGAAGAAAGACACTGAGTATGATGGTGTTCTAAATTAATTTTAAGGGAGACAAACCTACACCTTAAACTGATGCTGAGCATCACCTCTAGCATGTCCGTAGCAGTATTGTAAATTCTTCCCAGAAGTAAATACTGAACTCGATATCAAAAAGGGCATATGAATAATCCATTCCTAGATAAGAGGTGTCATTGATGTACAATACAAGACTAGGCAGAGATACGACATCCATCAAAAGCAAAGAAAGTCAAAGCTTTTCTGAATAATTAAAAGGTTCCAGAGAGACTGGCATTCAAAATGACATAAAACAAAGGGAGTAGATCAAAGAGTGTAATATATAGGTACTGGGAGACACTGTTACTTTCCATGAAATAATTTCCCACCCACTTTATAAGATATTATACAGAAACACACCTTCTGGCAGTTTATTTTCTGTATGCATTTCTCTTAGAACACTCTTATAAATCATCTCTTATTATGTCAATCTGGTTGCATTTATCCCCACATAAAATATTTTAATGCATCTGATTCCCTGACTGTACACTATGGATCCAGGGGGTTATTGATCCAGTAGCCAGCAGCCATATCACCCTGCGACTCACAACTGGCAGCCCACTGATGCTAAGCAGGTGTGAGCCTGGTGTGTACCTGGATGGGAGACCTCCTGGGAAAAACTAAGGTTGCTGCTGGAAGAGGTGTTAGTGGGGCCAGCAGGGGGCGCTAACCCTGCGGTCCATGTGGGTCTTAATGCCCCAGTATAATAATTAATAAAATCAATCTACATTTACACCAACAAAGTAAATGAAGACTTTTACTATGGAACGCAACCCAACAAGTAAAAGAGCAATATTTACTAGCTTAGTATTTAAATCTTTTAACCGTTTTCAAGATGTTATTGTAAATTGTAAATCCAAATTCCATTTTATACATTTAATGTTTTCATATGTTTGTACCCCTAAAAAAACATGAAAAGTCTTCCAATTTCTCCTATGCATTTTTGTTTCTCATAGAAACAATGTAAACCAAAGAAGGACAGCAAACAACTATTACATTCAGAAAAGGCCTTAAGGTTTTGATTTTGAACTCTTGGCTTTTTTAATTAAAATGTGCTTTACACAGTGTACTGTAAAGCATTTTAAATACAGGTTTCAACAGGACTTACTTATTAAGGTTAAAAACTGGATCTTAACAGAAAGATTAGAGATTAATTGTGGGGTTAACAAAGAATTAGAATTCCACAGATGTTCTTATTTAAACTTTACAGGCAAAGGACAAAGCTCAACGTATTTTGGTAAAATTTAGTTTATGTCTATAAAGAATGAAGAGTGGTTCAACTAGCATTTCTACAGAGGCTGATCAAAAGGATTGTGACATAGAATGAACCTGATACTGAAGAACAAATATCACTGTCATCTGACACTGTGGTTTCAGATAACAACCAAAAACATCTACGGAACATAAATCGTATTGATCAAACAAAGCTACAGAAAATACCCATTTTCTTTAAGCTGAATTGCAGCCAGACGTTCAAACAAAAATATAAATGATGGTATATAAAATTACAAAGATCAACTACCGTTTACACACATTATACCAATTACAAAAAAGGGCAAGTAGGCCTTCACCAATTATTAGCATGTAAACCTTCAATAACCTCTGTGACACTGGTCTAGAACTCTGGACATTGAGAACAATCTCCTATTCTGATTAAATCGAAACCCATTTATTCAGCGGGGAACTTAATGGAGCAACATGAGTGAATTAGCATCCCACTATGGATTTGAACCCACAACCCTCTGGTCTGGAGATCTGAGCCCCAACTCCTCTCTGCTGTCTACCGTAGTGTTCCCCACTTTCACTCCCGAAGGGTGCCAAGCCAGCATCTTCTTTCGGTCTTTCTTTAAAACACCAAGACAATTAAATCTGTTGAGTTAAGCAAGACAAGGATAACCCCCTGATGAACCAGGTGCAATAAAACACTCCCTCATACTTAGGGAAGTCTTACTCTTAGTCTTGTTGTTAGCTTTTTGTCTGATGAGCTTCTAGGCAGGTATGGACAAATGTTCAGCCTACTGTCTTGAGCATATTATTTTACATATTGATTGGTCAAGGTATGTTCACAGAGACTTTAGAAAGACAGGGGCTCTCCTAGGAAGGAGGTGCAGAACACTGATCTACTGCACTCCATCTGAGGAGGTCATTTTTGTTTTCAAATAAATTAATCATTTTGTTGAAGTTCTCGAAGGCTGTTTATTTGACTGCCTAGATACAGGGTATTTATGCACAAACGTACATACGAGCAAGTCAAATCTGTGACAGGAAAATTCCCAGAAAGTTAAAGTGCAAAATGTACAAGACTATGATTAGACCTGTACTACTATATGGAGCTGAATGCTTGGCAGTTGGAAAGAGGGAAGAGAACTTGATGAGAAGAACTGAAATGAGGATGTTGAGATGGATTCTGCAGATTTCAATGAAGGATAAGATCAGAAATGAAGAAATCCGTAGACGATGTAGGGTGGTGGATGTGGTTGAGAAGATGCGAGAGGCAAGGTTACGGTGGTATGGACATATCATGAGGAGGGACGTTGAGGAAGTAACAAAGAGGGTAATGGAATTTGAGGTGGAAGGTAACAGAGGAAGAGGCAGGCCTAGAAAGAGATGGATAGATTGTGTGAGAAAAGATATGGAGGTATGTGAAGTGAGTGAGGAAGATGTGCTCGGACAGAGACAAATGGAGAAGAGCAACCAAAGCAGCTGACCCCAGGACAGTCTGGGACTAAGGCTGTGAAAAAGAAGAAGAAGAAGAAGAAGAAGTACATACGAGCAAGTAAGTAATTTCACTTAAGTTCCATTTGACATTTTAAAAACAGGTTACAGAAAATGAGTCATGTAACGATCAAAATAACCAATTCAAAAAGACGGCAGAATTGCAAAGATGACCCTCATCACTGCTGCTTGCGCGTCGCAGGGTTCTAATTATTACAGGCACCACTGGGGTATGTCGGTAGCAATTACTATAGTTGGCATCAAATGAGTGTTGCTGTCAAATGCACACTTCCTGATGAGTTTGGGGTGGCAGTAATGTTAATGACCAAGAGGAGGTTATTCTTGGCTTTCCCACACTCCTTTTCTTGCTGCATTTAATCAGAGCACATGACTGAAGTAGTAGGTATTCCTTATTCCAAATAATATCGGCAGTTAACGTTCCCCTTTAAAGCTTGAAAAAATAAAACCATGAAACTATATCTACAGAAAGGCAGGGAAAAACATATCTTATTACAGTATGCATTCAGATTTTTTTACGATAATTGCTTAAACATTACCGACTGGCTTTACAGACTCAAAATTTTCACTACCCCTGGAGTAAGAAAATCTAGAACTATTGCTCAAAAAATAAGATAACAGGTGATTTAATAAGCAAATGCCTATCAGCACATCTTCTTCCTTAAACAAAAGCTTATTCATTCCACCCAAGAAAGAGTAATATCAACAACTTGAAAATAACCTCAATTACAAATCAATAGGGAGTTTCATATTTAGATTTGGATAAATATTATTCTTGTCCAGTTTTGTTTAATAAGCTCCAAAAATAAGTTAATCAATGAGCCCTAAATTTCCGTTGTCTCTCCAAGGGGTCATGTGTGCTCACTGCTCACTCGCACTCCTGGGTTTTCAAGTACCTGCATTCAAAAGCAGCTGGTGCCTGGCAAATCAATAATGATCCCACTTCACTTTTCGAAAGCATAAATTCTGCGTTTTTAAAGCAAATAATAGCTTTAAAGAGTTCTTTTCACCAAACTACAAAACAAAGGTTACCAACCTGGTGAGGTGCTTCTCCGCATGCTATTAATAGGGCATGTTTCTGAGGCAGTGTAATCATCTGTAATGATCATCCTTCTTGTGCCTTCAAGTGCAACATTCGTTTTGACTAATTCATTGAAATGTTATCTCCATAACAACTCTGTTCACTTATTCTTGTCCATACATTTTGACATGTGCAATATTTTGTGGGGAAAAGGAAATAAACTTTTTTTTTCATTATAAAAAGCCAGTAGATTGAATTTGTAAATAAAAAGCAGGAATAGTGTAAAGCTTAAGACAAAAAAAAATAAAGAAATTAGAGCGTGAAGAAAAATCCACAACTGAAATGCTTACAACCAACTAAGCTCCACTGAGCCTTGTCATTTCTGGCCCTTGATCTCATGGGTGTACTGACAGAAGTTGCTTACTCCCACTGGGGCTCAGTCTGCATTTCATCTCTTCGGCCTTCTTCCTGAACTAAAGCCATCTCTTCCTTTCATACAAAAAGCAGTATGAATCTTAAAAAACAGTAATAATGGACTGGAACAGACTCTTGGGGTAACAGCTTCAATACCTTGGAGAATTTGTATTGCTACTGTATCTGACATTCCTTGGAGACTAGGAATTAGAGTAACTGCTATATA